CCTGCTCTAATCTGAATATTAATCTTGAGTTTTACTTTGAGCAGTTTTAATGTTGTCCCTTAACAAGGCAGCGTTTCTTAGTCTTAGTTACGTCAGAGTTCTTTGAAAGCCGGTACAGCCGGTGCTTCAGTTAACAAAACTTTGTGTGGTGGGAATGAAATTGTGTGTCTGTGTCACAGGCTGTGGGTGATGACGGTAAACGCCCTCCAACCTTCAGCGAAGCTGCTCAGGCAGCAGAGGTACACCCAGAACGACCTGATGGTCGATCCTCTCATCGTGCTGCGCTGTGATCAGAGAGTATACAGGTGACTACAAAACGCCACGCGTGAACTCAAACATACAGTCTCAGACGTGTTGCAGTAGGTGGGCTTTCATGTGGTCCACGTTTTCACTGAACGCAACTAAAGATTTCTTCTGATACAAAAGATGAGCAGCGCGGGCAGCCCGGTAGCTCTGCAACCACGTGAGCTAGCGCAATAATTTTTTTTGCATGTGAAACCGGAGGAGTTGTACTTACATCTTCTGCCATCAGCTCGTCCTCAGTCACAGCTTTGCAAAACCTGCATAAAAAGCACTTGCAGCAACAAAAATCGATCAGCTGTTCATAACACTTCCTACGTTGGAATAGACGTCAGCGTGAACTGTCACATGTCCGCCATCACCTGCCTGGAACTGGAAGTGACGTCATTTTCACAGAAAATGTATTTTTTGTCCTGTAGAGCATTCACAAAGATATGCGGGTATTTTTTTTAAAATAAATTTTGAGTTTATGCCGTTCTGTATCGTGTCTGGGAGGCTCAAACTCAAACTGCTGGAAATAATCTGTTTTGATGCTGTTTTTTTGCAAATTTGCATCATAATATTTATTTTCGTTTTTCCTGCAGTGTATAAAAATTAGTGTATCTCAAAAATAAAACTATGAAGACACTCAAAATAATTTTCCTGTGGTGGGAAACTATTTTGTGCAACTTTTTGTTATTTACAGTTTTGAGGGATAAGCCTCTGAAATTTCTCTAACTAGAAATATATGGAAAAAACCAAAAACGATTCACTTTTTTATGTAGTTATTAAGGACTTAATGCATACATACAGTGGGGCAAAAAAGTATTTAGTCAGCCACCGATTGTGCAAGTTCCCCCACTTAAAATGATGACAGAGGTCAGTAATTTGCACC